TCAATATATCCACATAATTTCCTTCCTCATGATGCCATCTATTTTGTGAAGTGCACCAGTCCCTCCTGCAGCAAAACACCCCCACAGCATGATGCTGCCACCCCCGTGCTTCACGGTTGGGATGGTGTTCTTCGGCTTGCAAGGCTTACCCTTTTTCCTCCAAACATAACGATGGTCATTATGGCCAAACAGTTCTATTTTTGTTTCATCAGACCAGAGGACATTTCTCCAAAAAGTACAATCTTTGGCCCCATGTGCAGTTGCAATCCGTGGTCTAGCTTTTTTATGGCGGTTTTGGAGCAGTGGCTTCTTTCTTGCTGATCGGCCTTTCAGGTTATGTCGATATAGGACTCGTTTTACTGTGGATATAGATACTTTTGTACCTGTTTTCTCCAGCATCTTCACAAAGTTCCTCGCTGTTGTTCTGGGATTCATTTGCACCAAAGTACGTTCATTTCTAGGAGACAGAACGCGTCTCCTTCCTGAGCGGTATGACGGCTGCGTAGTCCCGTGGTGTTTATACTTGCGTACTATTGTTTGTACAGATGAACGTGGTACCTTCAGGCGTTTGGAAATTGCTCCCAAGGATGAACCAGACTTGTGGAGGTCTACAATATTTTTTCTGAGGTCTTGGCTGATTTCTTTTGATTTTCCCATGATGTCAAGCAAAGAGGCACTGAGTTTGAAGGTAGGCCTTGAAATACATCCACCGGTACACCTCCAATTGACTCAAATGATGTAAATTAGCCTATCAGAAGCTTCTAAAGCCATGACATCATTTTCTGGAATTTTCCAAGCTGTTTAAAGGCACAGTCAACTTAGTGTATGTAAACTTTTGACCCACTGGAATTGTGATACAGTGAATTCTAAGTGAAATAATCTGTCTGTAAACAATTGTTGGAAAAATTACTTGTGTCATGCACAAAGTAGATGTCCTAACCGACTTGCCAAAACTATAGTTTGTTAACAAGAAATTTGTGGAGTGGTTGAAAAATGAGTTTTAATGACTCCAACCTAAGTGTATGTAAACTTCCGACTTCAACTGTGTGTGTGTGTATATGTGTGTGTCTATATATATATATATATATATATATATATATATATATATATATACACAGTGGGGGGAAAAAGTATTTGGTCAGCCACCAATTGTGCAAGTTCTCCCACTTAAAAAGATGAGAGAGGCCTGTAATTTTCATCATAGGTACACGTCAACTATGACAGACAAAATTAGAAAAAACAATCCAGAAAATCACATTGTAGGATTTTTAATGAATTTATTTGCAAATTATGGTGGAAAATAAGTATTTGGTCAATAACAAAAGTTTCTCAATACTTTGTTATATACCCTTTGTTGGCAATGACACAGGTCAAACGTTTTCTGTAAGTCTTCACAAGGTTTTCACACACTGTTGCTGGTATTTTGGCCCATTCCTCCATGCAGATCTCCTCTAGAGCAGTGATGTTTTGGGGCTGTCGCTGGGCAACACGGACTTTCAACTCCCTCCAAAGATTTTCTATGGGGTTGAGATCTGGAGACTGGCTAGGCCACTCCAGGACCTTGAAATGCTTCTTACGAAGCCACTCCTTCGTTGCCCGGGCGGTGTGTTTGGGATCATTGTCATGCTGAAAGACCCAGCCACGTTTCATCCTCAATGGCCTTGCTGATGGAAGGAGGTTTTCACTCAAAATCTCACGATACATGGCCCCATTCATTCTTTCCTTTACACGGATCAGTCGTCCTGGTCCCTTTGCAGAAAAACAGCCCCAAAGCATTATGTTTCCACCCCCATGCTTCACAGTAGGTATGGTGTTGTTTGGATGCAACTCAGCATTCTTTGTCCTCCAAACACGACGAGTTGAGTTTTTACCAAAAAGTTATATTTTGGTTTCATCTGACCATATGACATTCTCCCAATCCTCTTCTGGATCATCCAAATGCACTCTAGCAAACTTCAGATGGGCCTGGACATGTACTGGCTTAAGCAGGGGGACACGTCTGGCACTGCAGGATTTGAGTCCCTGGCGGCGTAGTGTGTTACTGATGGTAGGCTTTGTTACTTTGGTCCCAGCTCTCTGCAGGTCATTCACTAGGTCCCCCCGTGTGGTTCTGGGATTTTTGCTCACCATTCTTGTGATCATTTTGACCCCACAGGGTGAGATTTTGCGTGGAGCCCCAGATCGAGGGAGATTATCAGTGGTCTTGTATGTATTCCATGTCCTAATAATTGCTCCCACAGTTGATTTCTTTAAACCAAGCTGCTTACCTATTGCATATTCAGTCTTCCCAGCCTGGTGCAGGTCTACAATTTTGTTTCTGGTGTCCTTTGACAGCTCTTTGGTCTTGGCCATAGTGGAGTTTGGAGTGTGACTGTTTGAGGTTGTGGACAGGTGTTTTTTATACTGATAACAAGTTCAAACAGGTGCCATTAATACAGGTAACGAGTGGAGGACAGAGGAGCCTCTTAAAGAAGAAGTTACAGGTCTGTGAGAGACAGAAATCTTGCTTGTTTGTAGGTGACCAAATACTTATTTTCCACCATAATTTGCAAATAAATTCATAAAAAATCCTACAATGTGATTTTCTGGATTTTTCTTTCTCAATTTGTCTGTCATAGTTGACGTGTACCTATGATGAAAATTACAGGCCTCTCTCATCTTTTTAAGTGGGAGAACTTGCACAATTGGTGGCTGACTAAATAATTTTTTCCCCCACTGTGTATATATATATATATATATATATATATATATGTATATATATACATACACACACTACCAGTCAAAAGTTTGGACACACCTACTCATTCAAGGGTTTTTCTTTATTATTACTATTTTCTACATTGTAGAATAATAGTGAAGACATCAAAACTATGAAATAACACATATGGAATTATGTAGTAACCAAAAAAGTGTTAAACAAATCAAAATTTATTTTATATTTGAGATTCTTCAAATAGCCACCCTTTGCCTTGATGACAGCTTTGCACACTCTTGGCATTCTCTCAACCAGCTTCATGAGGTAGTCACCTGGAATGCATTTCAATTAACAGGTGTGCCTTCTTAAAAGTTAATTCGTGGAATTTCTTTCTTCCTTAATGCGTTTGAGCCAATCAGTTGTGCTGTGACAAGGTAGGGCGGGTACACAGAAGATAGCCCTATTTGGTAAAAGACCAAGTCTATATTATAGCAAGAACAGCTCAAATAAGCAAAGAGAAACGACAGTCCATCATTACTTTTAGAAATGAAGGTCAGTCAATACTGAAAATGTCAAGAACTTTGAAAGTTTATTCAAGTACAGTTGCAAAAACCATCAAGCGCTATGATGAAACTGGCTCTCATGAGGACCGCCACAGGAATGAAAGACCCATAGTTACCTCTGCAGAGGATAAGTTCATTAGAGTTACCAGCCTCAGAAATTGCAGCCCAAATAAATGCTTCACAGAGTTCAAGTAACAGACACATCGCAACATCAACTGTTCAGAGGGGACTATGTGAATCAGGCCTTCATGGTTGAATTGCTGCAAAGAAACCACTACTAAAGGACACCAATAATAAGAAGAGACCTGCTTGGGCCAAGAAACACGAGCAATAGACATTAGACCGGTGGTAATTTGTCCTTTGGTCTGGAGTCCAAATTGGAGATTTTTGGTTCTAACCGCCGTGTCTTTGTGAGACGCAGTGTGGGTTAACGGATGATCTCTGCATGTGTATTTCCCACCGTAAAGCATGGAGTAGGAGGTGTTATGTTGTGGGGGTGCTTTGCTGTTGACACTGTCTGTGATTTATTTTGAATTTAAGGCACACTTAACCAGCATGGCTACCACAGCATTCTGCAGCGATATGTCATCCCATCTGGTTTGGTCTTAGTGGGACTATCATTTGTTTTTCAACAGGAGAATGACCCAACACACCTCCAGGCGGTGTAAGGGCTATTTTACCAAGAAGGAGAGTGATGGAGTGCTGCATCAGATGACCTGGCCTCCACAATCACCCGATCTCAAACAAATTGAGATGGTTTGGGATGAGTCAGACCGCAGAGTGAAGGAAAAGCAGCCAACAAGTGCTCAGCATATGTGAGAACTCCTTCAAGACTGTTGGAAAAGCATTTCAGGTGAAGCTGGTTGAGAGAATTCTAAGAGTGTGCAACGTCCTCCCTCTTAAACGGCACCAACCGCCACTGGTTTGAACATCTACAAATATTTTTGTCATGGTAGGGCGCTAAAGTACTGCCCAAACTCTAAACGTGCAAAATGTACACGTGTAGGTGTACAAATGCAATTATTGCTCACAAATATTAACTTACAAGTTTGCAAATGCGAATACAACTACAAAATGTTTTTTTTTCACAGCTCATCAGTTACATGTTTGAGAATGTGAGGGGGAATGCCCACATGCAGGAACGCCCAGAATTGTGGGCTGCAGTTGTACACTATTGAGCTAGCAAGCCCTCCTCTGTGACAATGTCATTGGGGCGCAGGAATTTCTGATTCTTATTTAAATGTTATGTTAACTGTCATTGAAGTTGGTGGTTACTACTGTACTGATTTCAGATCCGAAGCGAGAGAAATTGTATGCCATGTTTTGGTAAGGGCTCAGAGTGATGTCACACCCCCAAGAAGGCTCAATTAATCACCCGACGGGTTCTATGTCGAGACTCATGGATATTCATCAAATTTGGCACCGCCTTCCTACGGAAGGAAATCCACGTTCTCGTGTTAGTCGGAACTAGGAAACTCGGACATTTTCGACTTGCTAACTTGTTGAACGCAGCACGTGTATAAATACAACAAGTTACCAAGTCGGAAATGTCAGTTTCCTAGTTCCGATAGGTACATGAACGAGGCGGAAATTTCGCCAAGGGTTCATACCACAGTGGGTTCCCCTCAAAACTACTGCTCACAGTTCTCGTGATTCAATGCTGACTTGACTGCAATGAACAGGGGATGACAACTCCGTAGTTGCCGTCCATTCGTACAACAAACATTGAACTCTGATGTGCAATGGACCGATATGCATCGGAGACCGATGACCAAGAACGACCATTGTTGCTCAGTCGACAAGATGATAAAGTTGAAAGAGGTGAGTGCGTGCTGAAACAGCTGCTTGAAGCAATCTGACTTTGTGCTCTCTAAATAGCCGTCTATAGGCCTTTTCACACTGCATCGTTAATCTTAGCCCCAGGCTAGACTGGCCCTGAAATAGCTTAGCCATTTGTTACCCCTGGGCTAAGGTTTAGCACTGGGCTAATACACACTTTGATTCCAAAGCCCTGGGCTAACGGACAAACACATGCAACCAACATTCTATCTCTGACACGCAACCAATGTTATAAGCAAAGCAATAAGACATTTATTAACACATGACCTCTTGCCCTAGCATTTGATTTCCAACAGTGATGGTTTGTATAAACCTTGCTGACTGCCAGTCTGACATCGTAAACAATGTTTCACTTTTGAAATTCGACCTCGCTCCTGTCAGAATGATGTGCAAGAACGAGACAACAACTTTTATGATCCAGGCGAAATCATTAAACATTATTATAATGGTTATACCCAATTAAATGTCAATAGAAAAGCTATGAAAACAGACGAAAATGGCGCGTTTGCTGCCCTTCCAGTTGAAGAGTTTGTAGCTTTACAAGTTGGCTAAGTGAGAAGACGTTTGCCATCCTGCATAGCAACCATTTTTGTAATTCATAGCAACGAACGTTTTAGCAAGGATGAAAGTATTTAGTTTTTTTGTCCTCAGTTGGAAATAGTTCTGCATTTACTTATCAAAATAATGTACAGAACGCATTACAGTCATCACGAGCATATGTAAATTAAGTGACAGTGCAGCTTTTCTGATTGGACAGTGAGCATTCTAGGTGTTGTTCTTGCCCCAGTTTCACACTGGCTATTTTGGCATCATATTTCTGGGGCTAACCCCGAAAAGTCGGCACTAACGCTGCTCTGTAGTGAATGAGCCTTATGTACATAGCAGCGGGATGTAGGGGTGCTGAGGGTGCTGCAGCACCCCCTGAAAAATCTGATGTATTTTATTTTATTAAAAACAATAATTTTTTCACAAGTAGCTCACACCCTTACAAAACAAATTGCAGTCAGAGTGCAGTATAACTGCAGTACACTGTAGTATAACTGTAGTTAGAGTGCAGTATAACTGCAGTATGTTGAAAATACTAGGTTCAAAATGGAAAATGTAATGCAGTAATTTTGCATTATAACTTTAGTTCAACTGCAGTTTATCTGCAATTACTGTGTCCAAAATGCCACAGTTGACTGCAGTTACTGCACTTTTACTGCAGTTTCAAAACTGCTATCTTTTTTGTAAGGGCAGGACCTTTACTACTCCCCCCCCACCCCCAAACTACTTCCCACTGCTATGCTTCTAGCTAATTTCAAAACATTTACTTGGCTAAATTCTGTGTGTAACATTAGCTAACTAATGCCTCTGTTGCTTGCAAACTGTCTAACCATTTGTTGACAAAAATCAGCTGATGGAAAGAAAGCATACCCAAATACGATTCAGGCCATCTTAAACAAAAAAGGGAATCTGTGCCACGTTCAGTTGTCGAACATTGCAGATAGAAATGGCAATAATAAAATGATTCCTTGTTTAACATGTTGTTTGTTCTACATAATATATTTTTATCTGAACATTCCAAAATGGTGTGTCTTGCTGAACGCGCCCTAGGGGTATAGTCACTTGGAAGCAAATGGAACGAAACGGGGAGGGAACTAACTGAATTGTTTTCGTTGCAAAATGTTTTCCATTTGCTACGGTTTGGACTAACGATTGCACCCCAGGGATGTAATCATTAGTCCAAATTGTTGCAAACAGTTCCGATTTGCAACGAAAACAACAGTTTCTATTGGACAAATTCAGGTACGTTCCTCCCTGTTTCATTCAGTTTGCTTCTGTTTGGTTCCTAGTGAATACACCCCATGCTGGTGCTCGACTGAGGGACTTGAAAATCCCCAAAACATTCCTTACCCCAGGATACTTCAATAATAGCTCATGGACATGGGCTGATCTAACAAGTTACTAAACTAGAGTCCTACACATACATTCCACTTGAATAATAACAAAATAAAGAGAAATGAACAAAAATAAAACATTTGCTAGAAAGATGAGAAAGATACAGTGCATTCGGAAAGTATTCAGACCCCTTGACTTTTTCCACATTTAGTTACTTTACAGCCTTATTCTAAAATTGATTAAATAGAAAATGTCCCTCATCAATCTACACACAATACCCCATAATGACAAAGTGAAAACAGGTTTTCAGAAATGTTTGCACAGTTATTTACAAAATGTAAAACAGAAATACAGTGGGGGGAAAAAGTATTTAGTCAGCCACCAATTGTGCAAGTTCTCCCACTTAAAAAGATGAGAGAGGCCTGTAATTTTCACCATAGGTACACGTCAACTATGACAGACAAATTGAGAGAAGAAATATCCAGAAAATCACATTGAAGGATTTTTTATGAATTTATTTGCAAATTATGGTGGAAAATAAGTATTTGGTTACCTACAAACAAGCAAGATTTCTGGCTCTCACAGACCTGTAACTTCTTCTTTAAGAGGCTCCTCTGTCCTCCACCCGTTACCTGTATTAATGGCACCTGTTTGAACTTGTTATCAGTATAAAAGACACCTGTCCACAACCTCAAACAGTCACACTCCAAACTCCACTATGGCCAAGACCAAAGAGCTGTCAAAGGACACCAGAAACAAAATTGTAGACCTGCACCAGGCTGGGAAGACTGAATCTGCAATAGGTAAGCAGCTTGGTTTGAAGAAATCAACTGTGGGAGCAATTATTAGGAAATGGAAGACATACAAGACCACTGATAATCTCCCTCGATCTGGGGCTCCACGCAAGATCTCACCCCGTGGGGTCAAAATGATCACAAGAACGGTGAGCAAAAATCCCAGAACCACACAGGGGGACCTAGTGAATGACCTGCAGAGAGCTGGGACCAAAGTAACAAAGCCTACCATCAGTAACACACTACGCCGCCAGGGACTCAAATCCTGCAGTGCCAGACGTGTCCCCCTGCTTAAGCCAGTACATGTCCAGGCCCGTCTGAAGTTTGCTAGAGTGCATTTGGATGATCCAGAAGAGGATTGGGAGAATGGCATATGGTCAGATGAAACCAAAATATAACTTTTGGGTAAAAACTCAACTCGTCGTGTTTGGAGGACAAAGAATGCTGAGTTGCATCCAAAGAACACCATACCTACATGCTTTGGGGCTGTTTTTCTGCAAAGGGACCAGGACGACTGATCTGTGTAAAGGAAAGAATGAATGGGGCCATGTATCGTGACATTTTGAGTGAAAACCTCTTTCCATCAGCAAGGGCATTGAAGATGAAACGTGGCTGGGTCTTTCAGCATGACAACGATCCCAAACACACCGCCTGGGCAACGAAGGAGTGGCTTCGTAAGAAGCATTTCAAGGTCCTGGAGTGGCCTAGCCAGTCTCCAGATCTCAACCCCATAGAAAATCTTTGGAGGGAGTTGAAAGTCAGTGTTACCCAGCGACAGCCCCAAAACATCACTGCTCTAGAGGAGATCTGCATGGAGGAATGGGCCAAAATACCAGCAACAGTGTGTGAAAACCTTGTGAAGACTTACAGAAAACGTTTGACCTGTGTCATTGCCAACAAAGGGTATATAACAAAGTATTGAGAAACTTTTGGTTATTGACCAAATACTTATTTTCCACCATAATTTGCAAATATATTCATAAAAAATCCTACAATGTGATTTTCTGGATTTTCTTTTCTCATTTTGTCTGTCATAGTTGACGTGTACCTATGATGAAAATTACAGGCCTCTCTCATCTTTTTAAGTGGGAGAACTTGCACAATTGGTGGCTGACTAAATACTTTTTTCCCCCACTGTACCTATTCAGACCCTTTGCAATGAGACTCAAAATGGAGCTCAGCTGCATTGTGTTTCCATTGATCATCCTTGAGATGTTTCTACAACTTGATTGGAGTCCACCTGTGGTAAATTAAATTGATTGGACATGATTCGGAAAGGCACACACCTGTCTATATAAGGTCCCACAGTTGACAGTGCATGCCAGAGCAAAGACCAAGCCATGAGGGCGAAAGAGTTGTCCGTAGAGCTCCAAGACAGAATTGTGTCGAGGCACAGATCTGGGGAAGGGTACCAAAACATTTATGCAGCATTGAAGGTCCCCAACAACACAGTGGCTTCCTTCATTCTTAAATGGAAGAAGTTTGGAACCACCAAGACTCTTCCTAGAGCTGGCCTCCCGGCAAAACTGAGAAATCGGGGGAGAAGGGCCTTGGTCAGGGAGGTGACCAAGAACCCGATGGTCACTCTGACAGAGCTCCAGAGTTCCTCTGTGGAAATGGGAGAAACTTCCAGAAGGACAACTATCTCTGCAGCACTCCACCAATCAGGCCTTTATGGTAGAGTGGCCAGACAGAAGCCACAGAAGGCACATGACAGCCTGCTTGGAGTTTGCCAAAAGGCACCTAAACGACTCTCAGACAATGAGAAAGAAGATTCTGTGGTCTGATGAAACCAAGATTGAACTCTTTGGCCTGAATGCCAAGTGTCACTTCAGGAGGAAACCTGGCACCATACCTATGGTGAAGCATGGTGGTGGCAGCATCATGCTGTGGGGATGTTTTTCAGCGGCAAGGACTGGTAGACTAGTCAGGATAGAGGGAAAGATGAACGGAGCAAAGTAGAGAGAGATCCTTGATGAAAACCTGCTCCAGAGCGCTCAGGACCTCAGACTGGGGCGAAGGCTCACCTTCCAACAGGACAACAACCGTAAGCACACAGCCAAATCAACGCATGAGTGCCTTCGGGACAAGTCTCTGAATGTCCTTGAGTGGCCCAGCCAGAGCCCGGACTTGAACTCGATCTAACATCTCTGGAGAGACCTGAAAATAGCTGGGCTGTGATGCTCCCCATCCAACCTGACAGAGCTTGAGAGAATCTGCAGAGAGGAATGGGAGAAACTCCCCAAATACAGGTGTGCCAAGCTTGTAGCCTCATACCTAAGAAGATTTGAGGCTGTAATCGCTGCCAAAAGGTGCTTCAACAAAGTACTGAGTAAAGGGTCTGAATACTTATGTAAATATATATATATATATATATATATATATATACATTTGCAAAAATGTCTAAACCTGTTTTTGCTTTGTCATTATGGGGTATTGTGTGTAGATTGATGAGGGGGAAAAAGCTATTTAATCAATTTTAGAATAAGGTTGTAACGTAACAGCATGTGGAAAAGGTCAAGGGGTCTGAATACTTTCCGAATGCACTGTAGCTGTTCGTTAAGACCTTTTGGATCGACTGATTTACTTATTTGATCAGCCCATTGACATTTATTATTGGCATGGCTAGTGGGACACTCCCCTGCGAGGCTACATAGGTGCCTCACAACTTTTCTTACCCAAGGCTCTGATGAAGTAGCCTGGGTGCTAGGTGAAGTTAGCAACGTGGCTGTATTTTATTTTAGCAATGTGGGTGTACAATGCCTTGCAAAAGTATTCATCCCCCTTGGCGTTTTTCCTATTTTGTTGCATTACAACCTGTAATTTTAAATGGATTTTTATTTGGATTTCTTGTAATGGACATACACAAAATAGTCCAAATTGGTGAAGTGAAATGAAAAAAATAACTTGTTTAAAACAAATTCTAAAAAATAAATAACGAAAAAGTGGTGCGTGCATATGTATTCACCCCCTTTGCTATGAAGCCCCTAAATAAGATCTGGTGCAACCAATTACCTTCAGGAGTCACATAATTAGTTAAATAAAGTCCACCTGTGTGCAATCTAAGTGTCACATGATCTGTCACATGATCTCAGTATATATACACCTGTTCTGAAAGTACATTTTAGTCATTTAGCAGACGCTCTTATCCAGAGCGACTTACAGTTAGTGAGTGCATACTTTTTTTTTTTTCTTCATACTGGCCCCCCGTGGGAAACGAACCCACAACCCTGGCATTGCAAACGCCGTGCTCTACCAACTGAGCTACACAGGCCCCAGAGTCTGCAACACCACTAAGCAAGGGGCACCACCAAGGAAGCGGCGCCATGAAGACCAAAGAGCTCTCCCAAACAGGTAAGGGACAAAGTTGTGGAGAAGTACAGATCGGGGTTGGGTTATAAAAAAATATCTGAAACTTTGAACATCCCACGGAGCACCATTTAAAATCCATTATAAAAAAAATGGAAAGAATATGACACCACAACAAACCATCCAAGAGAGGGCCGCCCACCAAAACTCACGGACAAGGCAAGGAGGGCATTAATCAGAGAGGCAACAAAGAGACCACAGATAACCCTGAAGGAGCTGCAAAGCTCCACAGCGGAGATTGGAGTATCTGTCCATATGACCACTTTAAGCCGTACACTCCACAGAGCTGGACTTTACGGAAGAGTGGCCAGAAAAAAGCCATTGCTTAAAGAAAAAAAATAAGCAAACACGTTTGGTGATCTCCAAAAGGCATGTGGGAGACTCCCCAAACATATGGAAGAAGGTACTCTGGTCAGATGAGACTAAAATTGAGCTTTTTGGCCATCAAGGAAACCGCTATATCTGGCGCAAACCCAACACCTCTCATCACCCCAAGAACACCATCCCCACAGTGAAGCATGGTGGTGGCAGCATCATGCTGTGGGGATGTTTTTCATCGGGAGGGACTGGGAAACTGGTCAGAATTGAAGGAATGATGGATAGCGCTAAATACAGGGAAATTATTGAGGGAAACCTGTTTCAGTCTTCCAGATATTTGAGACTGAGATGGAGGTTCACCTTCCAGCAGGACAATGACCCTAAGCATACTGCTAAAGCAACACTCGAGTGGTTTAAGGGGAAACATTTAAATGTATTAGAATGGCCTAGTCAAAGCCCAGACCTCAATCCAATTCAGAATCTGTGGTATGACTTAAATATTGCTGTACACCCATCCAACTTGAAGTAGCTGGAGCAGTTTTGGCTTGAAGAATGGGCAAAAGTCCCGGTGGCTAGATGTGCCAAGCTTATAGAGACATACCCCAAGACACTTGCAGCTGTAATTGCTGCAAAAGGTGACTCTACAAAGTATTGACTTTGGGGGGTTGAATAGTTATGCACGCTCCAGTTTTCTTTTCTTTTTTTCTTATTTCTTGTTTGTTTCACAATAAAACATATTTTGCATCTTCAAAGTGGTAGGCATGTTGTGTAAATCAAATGATACAAACCCCCCCAAAATCCATTTTAATTCCAGGTTGTAAGGCAACAAAATAGGAAAAATGCCAAGGGGGGTGAATACTTTCGCAAGCCACTGTACCTTTTGTTGACAAAAATCAGCTGATGGAAAGAAAGCATCACCATCAGCTAGGGCTAGTTAAGAAACTTTAAAGTCAAAGTTCACTTCGAAATCAAAGTTTGTCAGATGTTTTCATACCTTGGTCTTATGCCAAGATTAGTTCACGGTTCGTTCCACCTCAACAAACACAAGAAAGAGGATTTCGACACCCGCCATCTCAGATTGTGCTGGAATTGTTTCTGTCGTTAGAAACAGATAAGATTAGCATTCCCGCAACATTATTTTGTTGAAATATAATTTCACCTGTGAGAAGTGAAGGTAATTGCACCCAAATTGGCCATTTTATAGGATTCATATAATATTCAATAAATATAGTACCTAACATTTGATTTGGACCAAACTGTTTTTCTAACAATATGAATTAGACTTGAGGAATCCTAATTAATTGTCAAAAGCCACCCACAGACCCCCCACACCCCATGCCAATCCCACCCCAACAACGAGTATATAGTATTATGTTGATCCTCTATGATCAACATTAGGTGAATGTGACAATACAACATCTTTAATAATAATTGATTCTTGTGATATTTTACTGTGCCTGGTCCATTTCCAATGGATTATGGCATCTTACAACTCTCTGGTCTCCCCCCCACCCTCTCCTTCTATCTCTCCTCTCCCTCAGCCCCTGCGTGCTGCTCGTCGAGGTACGGTCTGTCCCTGCTCTCCTGTTATGGTTTCTTTGTGGCCTATGCCCTTAGGGTCAACCTCAGCGTTGCCATGGTTGACATGCTTAACAACACAGACGCCAGCGGCAACACCAGCACATCAGTGTGTCCTGCACACTCCAGCCCTGCTCGCCCCAAGCACAACCACACTGTGAGTACCACCAGCCCTGCTTGCCCCAAACACCACACTGTGAGTACCACCACCCCAGCCCTGCTCAACCCAAACACAACCACACTGTGAGCACCCCAGCCCTGCTCACCCCAAACACAACCACACTGTGAGTCCCACCACCCCTACTCGCACTAAACACAACCACATTGTGAGTAATAATGTAATACTGCAACCACTATGACTGCACACATTACACAACCTCACTGTGACTGTAACGCTTAATCACAACACCACATGATGGCCCTCCTGTAGCTCAGTTGGTAGAGCATGGCGCTTGCAACGCAAGGGTTGTGGGTTCGATTCCCATGGGGGGCCAGTATGAAAAATGTATGCACTCACTAATTGGAAGTTGCTCTGGATAAGAGCGTCTGCTAAATGACTAAAATGAGCATACATAACTGTTGACTCTCCTGTTTGCTCTTGTCAGACGTAAGGATTATCTGTGTGTTTGTGTGTGTCTGGTAGGCCAGTGTGTACAACTGGGACACTGAGACCCAGGGCTGGATCCTGGGCTCCTTCTTCTATGGCTACATCCTGACTCAGATCCCAGGGGGCTACCTGGCACTCAAGTATGGGGCCAAATGGCTGCTGGGCCTAGGAATCCTGGGAACTGTAGTCTTCACCCTCCTCACCCCCGTGGCTGCCGACATGGGCGCAGGCTACCTCATCGTTGTCAGAGTGCTAGAGGGCATCGGAGAGGTATTGTGTTTGTACACGCAAGACTGCTATAAGCTCTGTTAAGTACTCATGAGAACCTCTAATTACATATATATGTTTTAAAGTAGTTCCTTTGCAATGTTAATCGGATTACTTCTCAGTGTGTCCTGAGTCTGTGTCCAGTCGTAACCAGGGATATTTTTGTGTTTGTCAACAGGGAGTGACGTTTCCAGCCATGCACGCCATGTGGGCATCTTGGGCCCCACCAATGGAGAGGAGCCGATTGCTCACCATCGCTTACACTGGTATTGCACACCTACCCCACCCTGCACACACAACATTTCTTATTCTGGGGACTCACTCATGTTTACATGTGTACCATATTATCTTTCTTAAAGCTACAATATATAACTTTTTGGGCGACCTGACCAAATTGACATAGAAATGTGAGTTATAGATCTGTCATTCTCATTGAAAGCAAGTCTAAGTAGCGGTAGAGCTGTTATATGTGCGCTATTTTGATGCTTCCCGTGCTTAAGTTTAATTTTACTTTTACTTTAGGTTTTGTACACCAGCTTCAAACAGCTGAAAATACAATATTGTTGGTTAATGAAAATATATTTCACAGTGGTTTAGATGGTACAATGATTCTCTACAGTGCTTGTTTTGTCACATAAACTGAAATTAGGCGAACTGTGAGGTGATTTTCTTCACAAGGCAACTTAATAAAAAACTCCTCTCTCCAGGTGCTCAGCTGGGTACCGTGGTCGCCCTTCCCCTGTCTGGTCAGATCTGCTTCTACCTCGACTGGACCTGGGTCTTTTATATATTTGGTAAGGCCGGCAGAGGGTTTGAAACAGAGAAGATGTGAAACTGGGCGTTTCAGCATTTGAACCATTTCACACACACAGGTTTTCCGTAGTGTCATCTTTGTGCAGTTTTGTCTGGAGAGACAGTTTTTTCTTTGCTCATGCAATGCAATGAATACAGACACTATTTCCTTAATGCATTCCTTTTTTAGGGAACATAAAGTGGAAAACAGTTAGTGGGAAATATAATTGGGGGGAATTTAAGTGCATGTCACAAGCAAAGCTTGTGCGCATGTCCGTGTGTGTCTGTTTACATTTTAGTCATTTAGCAGACGCTCTTATCCAGAGAAACGTACAGGTAGTGCATTATTGACCATTAGTGCATTATTTGACTGTGTCTGTGTGTGTGTTTAGGTATTGTGGGGATTGTGTGGTTCATCCTGTGGGCGCTCCTTGTCAGTAACACTCCCAGCACACATCCGCGGATCTCAGAACAGGAGAGACTCTACATCACTTCTACCCTGAATAAGGAGGTATGTTGCAAAAGCAGCTGGGAATTGTAGTGTCTGAACTTTATCTCTAAGGCCCAATCTCTTTGTAAACAGACTATGGTTGTGTCAGGCTCATGAACATTAAGTACATAAATGTAGAATACAGTGGTCATATACGCGGTGAAGTTACACTACCAGTCAAATGTTTGGACACCTACTCATTCAAGTGTTTTTCTTCATTTTTTTACAATTTTTTACATTGTAGAATAATAATGAAGAAATCAAAACTATGGAATCATGTAGTGACCAAAAGTGTTAAACAAATCAAAATGTATTTTATATTTGAGATTCTTCAAATAGCCACCCTTTGCCTTGATGACAGCTTTACCAGCTTCATGAGGTAGACACCTGGAATGCATTTAAATTAACAGGTGTGCCTTCTTAAAAGTTAATTTGTGAAAAAAAAATCTTTTTTAATGTGTTTGAGCCAATCAGTTACATTTACATTTTTACATTTTAGTGATTTAGCAGACGCTCTTATCCAGAGCGACTTACAGTTAGTGGTTGCATACATTTTCATACTGGTTGTGTTGTGACAAGGTAGGGGGGGTATACAGAAGATAGCCCTATTTGGTAAAAGACCAAGTCCATATTATGGCAAGAACAGCTCAAATAAGCAAAGAGAAAATGCAGTCCATCATTACTTTAAGACATGAGGGTCAGTCAATACTGAAAATCGGAAGAACTTTGTACGTTTCTTCAAGTGCAGTCGCAAAAATCATCAAGCGCTATGATGAAACTGGCTCTCATGAGGACCACCATAGGAATGGAAGACCCAGAGTTACCTCTGCTGCAGAGGATAAGTTCATTAGTTACCAGCCTCAGAAATTGCAGCCCAAATAAATGCTTAACAGAGTTCAAGTCACAGACACATCTCAACATCAACTTTTCAGAGGGGACTGTGTGAATCTGGCGTTCATTTACATTTTACATTACATTTTAGTCATTTAGCAGACGCTCTTATCCAGAGCGACTTACAGTTAGTGAATACATATTTTATTTATTTTTTATACTGGCCCCCCGTGGGAATCGAACCCACAACCCTGGCGTTGCAAACGCCATGCTCTTCATGATCGAATTGCTGCAAAGAAACCACTACTAAAGGACACCAATAAGAAGAAGAGACCTGCTTGGACCAAGAAACACGAGCAATGGACATTAGACCGTTGGAAATATGTCCTTTGGTCTGGAGTCCAAATTGGTGATTTTTGGTTCCAACCGCCGTGTCTTTGTGAGACACGTTGTGGGTGAACGGATGATCTCACCGTAAAGCATGGAGGAGGAGGTGTTATGGTGTGGGGGTGTTTTGCTGATTACACTGTCTGTGATTTATTTAGAATTCAAGGCACACTTAACCAGCATGGCTACCACAGCAGGACAGTGATAGTGGGACTATAATTTGTTTTTCAACAGGACAATTACCCAACACACTTCCAGGCTGTGTAAGGGCAATTTTACCAAGAAGGAGAGTGATGGAGTGCTGCATCAGATGACCTGGCTTCCACAGTCCCCCGACCTCAAACCAATTGAGATGGTTTGGGATGAGTCGGACGGCAGAGTGAAGGAAAAGCAGCCAGCAAGTGCTCAGCATATGTGGGAACTCCTTCAAGGCTGTTGGAAAAGCATTCCAGGTGAAGCTGGTTGAGAGAATGCCAAGAGTGTGCAAAGCTGTCATCACGGCAAAGGGTGGCTATTTGAAGAATCTAAAATATATTTTAATTTGTTTAACACTTTTTGGGTTACTACATGATTCCATATGTGTTATTTCATAGTTTTGATGTCTTCACTATTATTCTACAATGTAGAAATAATACAAATAAAGAAAAACCTGTGAATGAGTAGGTGTGTCCAAACTTTTGACTGGTCATGTATGTACAGCAATTTTGTATTTATTTTTGTCCTCCGTACAGTACCAGTGTAAACTGGCACACTATTTGGTGCTACAACAATCTCAACAGGAGGAACTAACTTTTTATGAACACTGTTACAGTGGGGGAAAAAAGTATTTAGTCAGCCACCAATTGTGCAAGTTCTCCCACTTAAAAAGATGAGAGAGGCCTGTAATTTTCATCATAGGTACACGTCAACTATGACAGACAAAATGAGGAGAAAAATCCAGAAAATCACATTGTAGGATTTTTAATGAATTTATTTGCAAATTATGGTGGAAAATAAGTATTTGGTCAATAACAAAAGTTTCTCAATACTTTGTTATATACGCTTTGTTGGCAATGACACAGGTCAAACGTTTTCTGTAAGTCTTCACAAGGTTTTCACACACTGTTGCTGGTATTTTGGCACATTCCTCCATGCAGATCTCCTCTAGAGCAGTGATGTTTTGGGGCTGTCGCTGGGCAACACGGACTTTCACTCCAGGACCTTGAAATGCTTCTTACGAAGCCACTCCTTCGTTGCCCGGGCGGTGTGTTTGAGATCATTGTCATGCTGAAAGACCCAGCCACGTTTCATCTTCAGTGGCCTTGCTGATGGAAGGAGGTTTTCACTCAAAATCTCACGATACATGGCCCCATTCATTCTTTCCTTTACACGGATCAGTCATCCTGGTCCCTTTGCAGAAAAACAGCCCCAAAGCATGATGTTTCCACCCCCATGCTTCACAGTAGGTATGGTGTTCTTTGGATGCAACTCAGCATTCTTTGTCCTCCAAACACGACGAGTTGAGTTTTTACCAAAAAGTTATATTTTGGTTTCATCTGACCATATGACATTCTCCCAATCCTCTTCTGGATCATCCAAATGCACTCTAGGAAACTTCAAACGGGCCTGGACATGTACTGGCTTAAGCAGGGGGACACGTCTGGCACTGCAGGATTTGAGTCCCTGGCGGCATAGTGTGTTACTGATGGTAGGCTTTGTTACTTTGGTCCCAGCTCTCTGCAGGTCATTCACTAGGTCCCCCCGTGTGGTCCTGGGATTTTTGCTCACCGTTCTTGTGATCATTTTGACCCCACGGGGTGAGATCTTGCGTGGAGCCCCAGATCGAGGGAGATTATCAGTGGTCTTGTATGTCTTCCATTTCTTAATAATTGCTCCCACAGTTGATTTCTTCAAACCAAGCTGCTTACCTATTGCAGATTCAGTCTTCCCAGCCTGGTGCAGGTCTACAATTTTGTTTCTGGTGTCCTTTGACAGCTCTTTGGTCTTGGCCATAGTGGAGTTTGGAGTGTGACTGTTTGAGGTTGTGGACAGGTGTCTTTTTATACTGATAACAAGTTCAAACAGGTGCCATTAATACAGGTAACGAGTGGAGGACAGAGGAGCCTCTTAAAGAAGAAGTTACAGGTCTGTGAGAGCCAGAAATCTTGCTTGTTTGTAGGTGACCAAATACTTATTTTCCACCATAATTTGCAAATAAATTCATTCAAAATCCTACAATGTGATTTTATGGATTTTTTTTTTCTCAATTTGTCTGTCATAGTTGACGTGTACCTATGATGAAAATTACAGGCCTCTCTCATCTTTTTAAGTGGGAGAACTTGCACAATTGGTGGCTGACTAAATACTTTTTTCCCCCACTGTATATGCAACCTGTTATATGCAAGCCTTTTACTGCGATCACATAACTTGTATTATATTTTTACTTCACATTTGTTGTACAACACTTGGCAGACATTGAGACATTGAAAAAAAAAGTGTTTCTAGCCAAACATCCACAAAGCGCTTTTCTCAGCCACACTCAAATAAGCCTGTGATAAAAGTGATATTTCACATGTGCAAGTCTAGTGGTATTTTAAGATGGCCATCTTTGATATTCTCTTTTTCAGATGTCGCCGACGGGGGACCACATCCCCTGGGGGTCCATCTTGAAGTCCATGCCGCTGTGGGCCATAGTGGTGGCTCACTTCTCCTACAACTGGACCTTCTACACACTACTCACTCTGCTGCCCACATACATGAATGATGTATTGGGCTTCAGTATCAAAGAGGTGAGTTTATATGCTTGTTCTGGTCACACACCCACCCACACAGTCTCTGTCATTAACCCAGTGTTGTTTGTTGTATGTGGTCCCCTGTTAGAACGGTGCCCTGTCGGCTCTGCCCTACATCGGCTGTGTGCTGCTGGCTGTGCTGGGGGGCCAGCTAGCTGACTACCTGAGGGAGAACTTCTACCGCACTGTGGTCGTCAGGAAGGCCTTCAGTCTCATAGGTGAGGAGCAGCATTATAAGGGGATAGAGAGAGACACTCACAGATGAGCACACATACACACTCACCCACACATACATTCATGCTCACACAAGACATGCTCACAATCCACAAATTCAAACACGTTCAAATACCAACACTGTCTCTATCTTCTAGCTGTATCTCACTTTACCTCTACCTCTATATTTGGATAAATCTAGTACATCCATGTATCCTATGTTTACCATATTCGGTGGGTGTATGTAGGTATGATTGGGCCGGCGGTGTTCATCGTGGCTGCTGGATATACAGGCTGTAACTACATCCTGGCAGTTGCCTTCCTCACAATCTCTTCCTCCCTGGGAGGATTCGTAGCCTCCGGCTTCAACATCAATCACCTCGACATTGCCCCCCCGTAAGATACTGCTCATCACTATTGATACTGTTACTATGGTAGCACTTAATTTTTAGAGAGAGAAATGACCAGGAATGTACTTAGAAATAGCATAGTAAAATGGTTATAACAGAGTAATAGCCATTGAATTATTGTCTTGTTGTGAGATGTGTGTAATTGTCTAAAATCTGTGTGAATGTTCCTTTTCCCTTTTAGCTATGCTGGAATTTTGTTGGGAATCACCAACTCCTTTGCCACGATACCTGGTATGGTGGGACCAGTCATAGCAAGAGCCCTGACCAAACATGTAAGAATCTGTTTTTATCACGTATATCTGTTTTCATTTAATATCTTTCAGATAATGAAAGTACAGTATCATAAAACACTTTTCAAAACTCATGATTGTTGTAAGTGTAGCAAAGTTAAATTTAAGACATGATGGGCTCAGGATGCAGGTAAAAGTTGCCAGCCTGGTCTCATAGACTAGACGTAACATAGTAAATGTAAATCCATGACACTCAAATTAGTATGATATGTTGCGTTTGGTATGGTTACATAAGACAGATGGTTACTTAAGGCAAAAACGAAAGTAGGGTGGTTGGTCGGGGTGGATGGCAGGTTGCGAGTTCGAATGTCCTCACAGACATCTTTGGCATTTTAGCAAATTAGCAACTTTTCAAATATTTACCAATGTTTAGCTACTTTACAACTACTTAGCATGTTAGCTAACCCTTCCCCTAACCTCAGGGCCTAAAATTAACACCCGCCACCTGCCAAATGTGGGTAGATTTTGGCATTGGCGGGTAAAATGTCTATTGGCGTGTGGTCAGGGCTCCACAGTGCGAGCATTTCACTCGCATTTGTGAATAAAAATAGTCAAGTATGATCACATTTATAGTAAAAGGTATTTCTGCCGTTTTGTTTCATAGTTGGTAAATTAATCTCACAAAGTCAAAGATGTACAAATCCTTTATAGCCTATTCCACCTCGCGCTGCAACACTGCCTGGCTGTTGGCTGTGCGCACATGAAGAGCTGAGTGAAAGATTCATTTTTAGAAGCGCTGCGCACAGGCATAAAAGTTGGTCTAATTTACTTGAAACTAATTTCTTCTGAAGTGAGACTTTGTCCTTGTGTTTCTTGGCTATTTACATTGTTTTGTTTACAAGCTAGGTTTTTTTCTATGTTTGAGTTTCAACTGCTAGGGAAGAGAAGACAACGCTTCTACTAGTCAGACTCAATCTCACAGGCACAAACATAACTCGAGTCACGCTACCACGGTAACCTCCCGCCAGTAAAAGGGGCAGGTGAAAATGTTTGTCTCATCTGTGATATTTTGCTTAAAAGACTCGGGTCACAAAAAAAAGAAATTAACAATATACTGTACCACATTACTTCTTACTAGTAAAACATTGTATTGTTTTCTAAACATTACAAAGTATGCTCATCCGTTTTTTTGGTGTTTTGTTGGTGTAATTTTAGCAGATTTTAATTTATTTTATTTTATTTTATTTGGGCTGGTAAAAAATCTGAGTGGCTGGTAGATTTTTTTATATCTACCTGCCACAGTGGCTGGTGGACCAAAAAGTAAATGTTATGCCCTCCCTAACCTTAACCCTTTTACCTAACTTCTAAACATACCCCTAATCCTTAGCCGAGCTAATGTTAGCCAGCTAGCTAATGTTAGCCAGCTAGCTAATGTTAGCCACCTAGCTAGAATTTGTAACATATATGAAACGTTTTGCAAATTCGTAACATATGATACGAATTGAAATTCGTAACATATCATTCGAAATGGGTGATGGACATCCATACTAAATGGAGTTCTCAGATTTATGTACAGAATAATACAAAATGCTCTGAGACCAGGGTGAAGTTTCTAGTTATCCCATATCTAGGATCAGATCAGATACCCTCATCAAATCCTTAACTAGTATTATGGGGAACAAGGCAACACTGACCTTAGACCAGTGTTTAGGTAGGAGCAACTTCAACCTACTTCATTGGGCTCACAGATGCCTCTGCTTCCTATTGTAGAACACTATAGAGGAATGGCAGTCAGTGTTCTACATCTCTGCTGGGATCAACCTGTTCGGAGCAGCTTTCTATACTGTGTTTGGCCGAGGCGAGATTCAACCCTGGGTGTCCACAATCCCCATACCCAAGGCAGCTGAGGGGGACAAAGCGTGACCCCCTGTGGACCAAAATGGACTCACAGCCATGGCACAATTTCCTGTGTCAGTCTTAACCCAGATGCTCTACGCACAATGCTATTGGGAAAACAGCCTTGTAAAGAAAACGTTTTAAGATTTTTATGTTTATTTTTGGTAAGTAGACCAATATAATGGGTATGATAAGTACATTTTTTATCAATGATCATATTGATATTACTCTTTATGTGGGGCCTTTTTGTGTGATATGATAACCCCTTTAGTTTTTTACTTTGTTTACAGGTAGGGGGTTGCGCTTGATTTAGTGGACTCGTGCCTAAAATCACTTACATTTGATGAAGTCTTACATGGACTGACATCAGACAAGTACCATTTCCACTTTTAGTCATAATTTGTTGCTTCCTCCGCTAGATGCTCAGAAAAAACAAGAAGCCATATGAATTAAGGATCTTGTATGTAGCACAGTTAGTGCCAACTGAAAGAGCACAATCTCTGAGGATAGAATCCAAGTGCAGTTCATCCACTGGTGGGTTTCTCTACTTGTGAGAAACTCATTTTTTTGGCCTTCCGCTTGTGCCTTATTGTGATGGCTACAGCAGTGGTTTTCAACTGGTGATAAAAAAAAAAGTGGGATTTTGACTTGAGCACCAGTGCAGTTACAAAGAAAATCCATCAGAAATCCATTGAATGGCACAGATGGTTACATCTGTATTGTTGTTTCAAGTCTGGTGCGATGGATCTGTTTTTACATTTATAATTTGAATCATTTTACTTAGCCTGTGAGAACCATTAGGTTAGATTAGATTAGGCTTAACAGTACCACAGTCTCTGCCATAGAAAAAAACAGAGTGGCTTTTGTGTCTGTGGTTGCACATTTTACAATGCAGAAAACCACTTGTCTCTAGACCTTTTTGTTCAAAAGTAAGACCTATTTTACCGGAGCTAGCCTACATTTTTGTTTCTATTGGAGATTTGTGGTACGCTCTTGAAGGTTTACACACAAATTAACCATAATGAGTAAGAAACTATGAAAATATTTTAAATAAACCTTATTTAATCTATGAAAAATATTTGTCACAGAAAATGGATGATTAACAGTATGGATTAGATGAGATGGAGGTCATTACCACACAATAAATTATTAGGAGAAGTTTGTGCCACAGATTTTTCTGCCCATCAAGGTGTGCAACAGTTCAAAAATGGTTGAGAACCACTGGGCTAGAGTGTATAGGACTATGACCATCATCAACCCAGTATATAAAAAAATATATATATCTCATCTAATCGATACGTGACAGAAAACAGATACAAACAGCAGTGTTCCCTGTGTGAATCGGTCTACCATGCAAATGTCATAAATTGTTTTTTGTTACTGATCAATTGTGTTTTATGGTCACTTGCTGGTCCAACTACAATGAAGGAGTTTAAGGGACTTAGCTACTTATTTTTATTTTATTTTTAAGATAATGTTTAAATTTTTTCATCAGATAAATTCTGCACACCAACATTCTTTACACACTACATACTATGTCAATCATGGTATATTACTCTTATGGCCAATTTCTGTGAGGGCGATATTTATTGCACAGGCTTTGTTTCCCCCACCTAAAGGAACTGTACTTCTTATGTTTATGAGAGACCTCAAATGGTCTGTTTCTGAATAAGGTTTGTACACCTCAAAGTAATCAATATGGGACATTTAATTTAAGTGTGAATATTGGCATACCAGGCTGAATTTGATGCTTGATCTTTTAGAAAGAAAAAGCAAAATAAAGAACAGCACGTATTTCAACCATTTGTTTCAGTCAATGACCAATGTAAAAGTTTATATTAATAAAACATTTTAATGAAATCGTATTGAATATGCATGGTGTCTTGACTCTTCATTTAGCCCTTAATTACTGACAGCAGGTAGTGGTTCATTTGGGGTCATTCTAAAGCCAACCAGGGTATGGCTATAATGTTTGCTCATGTACCTGCTGTGCAAAAATATGGAGAGCAGTCATATATTGCTGGACTCTGTGGCATACCGCAGTTTCGCAGCCCCTCCCCACCCCAAAAATACAAAATAATAATTTAGGATTTTTTTTTGGGGGGGGGACCGCTAACTTCCAACAATTCTCCAAATGTTGCCATGGGGCAAAGAGGAAAATGTGCAATTTTATAGCTAATATCATGCTCTTCTACACATGTTACAATGAGGCTGAGCGTATTTTGCATTTATTAAAGAACATTTCCTGCTTTTGTGAATAAATGCAAGAACTCACGAGCACGCAACATGATGTGGAAATAAATCCAACAACACTTGCAAACATGTCACTTGATATGTGAATAAATTCAATAAGATTTGCAAGAATGCAACTCAATTTGAGAATGAATGCAACTCATTCACTGAACTTGCGACTGATGAATCTTCTGTGAAGCAGAACTACATTTGCCGATGTCGAATCTGCGCACTCGACTTTTGTCACTAATTTAGCTACAAAAGTTTTGTAGTTGTAAAAAAAAATATATGGTGCTTGTAAGAGTTGCTCTGCATGCAAGTGTAGCACATGGGGATGTGTGAAACTTCTCCACAGCCTGAAGTGTCCCCACTTGCGCCAGAGAATAGCTAGTTTTTTGCTTGGTGCCGACTGGTAAGACGCTTCAGGAGGGCAGTCACGTGTGCTTGTAAGGAAAATGTCCCGAGTTCGCTCCAGGTATGGGCCGAATCGGGAGGAAGTGGTACTTGATAACATATCGTTTTCACCACTTCTGAATTCGTCAGATAAAGTCCCGCCCCCATTCATTTTCGAAGGGGGAACGCGGAACAATGTGCATGGGATTGTGGGAAGGTGAGCAGCGAGCGGTGAGAACCCTACTAGCAAAGCAGTAGAACAAGTTCAGCTCTGCTCTACTTAATGCAAATTGCACGTGGCCACAGCTGCCGTTAACCAATCAGGTGAGGAGCATACACTACCAGTCAAAAGTCTGGACACCTACTCATTCAAGGGTTTTTCTTAATTTTTACTATTTTTTTACATTGTAGAATAATACTGAAGACATCAAAACTATGAATAACACATATGGAATAATGTAGTCACCAAAAAAGTGTTAAACAAATCAAAATATATTTTATATTTGAGAGTTTTCAAATAGCCACCCTTTGCCTTGATGACAGCTTTGCACAATCTTTGTATTCTCTCAACCAGCTTCATGAGGTAGTCACCTGGAATGCATTTCAAATAACAGGTGTGCCTTCTTAAAAGTTAATTTGTGGATTTTCTTTTCCTTAATGCGTTTGAGCCAATCGGTTGTGTTGTGACAAGGTAGGGGGGGTATACAGAAGATAGCCCTATTTGGTAAAAGACAAAGTCCATATTATGGCAAGAACAGCTCAAATAAGCAAAGTGAAACGACAGTCCATCATTACTTTAAGACATGAAGGTCAGTCAATACGGAACATTTCAAGAATTTTGAAAGTTTCTTCAAGTGCAGTCGCAAAAAAACATAAAGCGCTATGATGAAACTGGCTCTCATGAGGACCGCCACAGGAATGAAAGACCCAGAGTTACCTCTGCTGCAGAGGATAAGTTAGAGTTACCAGCCTCAGAAATTGCAGCCCAAATAAATGCTTAATAGAGTTCAAGTCACAGACACATCTCATCATCAACTGTTCAGAGGGGTCTGTGTGAATCAGGCCTTCATGGTCGAATTGCTGCAAAGAAACCACTACTAAAGGACACCAATAATAAGAAGAGACCTGCTTGGGCCAAGAAACACGAGCAATGGACATTAGACCGTTGGAAATGTGTCCTTTGGTCTGGAGTCCAAATTTGAGATTTTTGGTTCTAACCGCCGTGTCTTTGTGAGATGCGGTGTGGGTGAACAGATGATCTCCGCATGTGTATTTCCCACCGTAAAGCATTGAGGAGGAGGTGTGGGGGTGCTTTTCTGGTGACACTGTCTGTGATTTATTTATAATTCAAGGCACACTTAACCAGCATGGCTACCACAGCGATACGCCATCCCATCTGGTTTGGGCTTAGTGGGACTATCATTTGTTTTTCAACAGGACAATGACCCAACACACCTCCAGGCTGTCTAAGGGCTATTTGACCAAGCAGGAGAGTGATGGAGTGCTGCATCAGATTACCTGGCCTCCACAATCCTCCAACCTCAACCCAATTGAGATGGTTTGGGATGAGTCGGACGGCAGAGTGAAGGAAAAGCAGCCAACAAGTGATCAGCATATGTGGGAACTCCTTCAAGACTGTTGGAAAAGCATTCCAGGTGAAGCTGGTTGAGAGAATGCCAAGAGTGTGCAAAGCTGTCATCAAGGCAAATGGTGTCTATTTGAAGAATCTCAAATATAAAATATATTTTGATTTGTTTAACACTTTTATTATTACTACATTATTCCATATGTGTTATTTCATAGTTTTGATGTCTTCACTTATATTCTACAATGTAGAAAATAGTAAAAATAAAGAAAACCCCTTGAATGAGTAGGTGTGTCCAAACCTTTGACTGGTACTGTATGTTTGCTTGAAAATCTTACGTTCATGAAACATAGTTCCGCCTGCCATTAGGAAAACCAAAAAAGATGGTGGAAAGCCAATCATTGCTGTGTCTGGTTTTCCAATTCTATATGATGTCGCTTTGCTAGAATACAGACAAAATCAGAAGGTCAATGGCATGGAGGAGGATTGCAGATATTGTTGGTGTTGATGGTGGGTGAAGAGAGATTTGCACAACTATGTTTGCTTGTGCTATTAGCTAGCTATGAACCTCAATCAATCTAAACCTCAAAACTGTGATCAAAGCCACCATTTGTGAATCTGTTGACTAAATTAAATTAAATTAGTCCACCAAAGGATATAAATCACCAGTAACACACACAACATTGTAAATGAAACACCGGGCATGAATTTCCAATGTAATATGCTAGCAATTGAATTATGGTATCTTAACATCATGATTCTCATATATTATAGCTTATGGCTCTTTCATGATACCTGTGTTATAGCTCACTTCCTG